AAAATATATTTCCTTACTGTTGATTCTATATCAGTTTGAGAATTAAATGTTTAGATATATTGATATTTTAATGTCAGGGGGATCAGCCAACTGTGATATATTACTACATTTTTTAAATTACTGTTTTCTGTTTTAATTTATTTCAAAATATAATTTATTCATGTGATGGCAAAGCTGAATTTTCAGCAGCCATTACTTCAGTCTTCAGTGTCACATGATCCTTCAGAAATTATTCTAATGCTGATTTGCTGCCCAAAAAACATTCTTAATATTATCAAGGTTGAAAACAGTTGTGCTGCTTTTTGTGAAAACCACCATACAATTGTTCAGGATTCTTTGATTAATAGAAAGTTCAGGAGAACAGCGTTCTTTCATAACTATATAAACACATTTACTGTCATTTCTCTTTACTTTTACATCCATCCATGCTGAATAAGAGCAAATTTCTTTAAAAATAAATAAATAAAAAAAACACTCTTGACTTCTGAACGGTCATGTATAACCTACGGTAGTTGAGGAACTCACAGAGAACTGAACACAGATGTTGAGGGCACCATCCTGATTCTGGTTGTCCAAGCACGGCCTGTAGTCTATGTAGCTCTGCATGCTGCCTGTATATTTACAAAACTCTATAAACACATGACTCCCATTGCCACCTCCTGCAATGGCTTTGCTATTTTCCAGCTTACTGTGGAGGACAAAGAAAATATCTTTCATTTCAGGTACCGAACGGACATGCATACTTTTTTTGTACTTTTGACATAGAGATATTACACATACCACTTCTTATAGGCATATTCCAGGTATGAGGCTGTAAACCTCAGCTCATTCTCTGTTGCATACTTAGTGTCATAGATGCCTGAGGGAAACATCTGGGACAGATCCGCAATAAAGGTGCCCAGTCGCTCAGGTAGATGGGCATAGAAGCACTGGTACAGGAAGACCATGTCTATCAGACCATTATGGACCACCAAGGGCTTGTTGGCCCTAAGCAGTTCTACGAACAAGGAGCGCAGGTTTACCCCATGGGCATCACCTCCCTAAAACAAGCATAAAACACACCTACTTAAGTCCCCAAATCTTACAATTCTTGATAAAGTTCTTTCAACATTTTTTGTATAGGTTCAATCATACTCACTTTATCATTACCCTTAGAATAAGGAATGCCTTCAGCATATTGTTTGTTGAAGTCAAATCCATGTTGTACAAGGAACTGCACTGACTGAGGTTCAATTATGTATTCCTCCGAGCAAAGCAAGGTCAGATTGTAAACCTGAACCAGGTATGTGCTGTCTGCCTAGAATCAGAAAATGTACAAGAATCATTGTAAGGTCCGTTCACATATTCAGAATAGGGCTGTTAAATACATCACGAGTGATCACGATTAAACCACATCCAAAATAAAAGTCTACGTTTACATAACATATGTCTGTGAACTGTCTGTGTATATTTATTACAGTGGGTATAGAAAAGAATCACTCCCTTTAAAATAATCACATTGTTGCTTTGCAGCCTGAAATGAAGACAACACAGTTTTTGTTTTATCCAGCTGTATTTACTCAGTGCAACTTATAACATTCAAGTAAGATATAACACCAACATGTCAGGAAAAAAAAGGAAAAAGGATCACCCCCTCCTAAAAATGACTTGTCAACTCAATCAGGTGTAGCTAATCCCCTTCTCAATGGCACACAAAGCCATTTGACTTTCAACTGTGATCAGCTGTGGTCATTTTGATTATCTCCGCATGAAAAAAAAAGCTTTCCTGGTGTGTTTCAGTCCTTGGTAGTGCAACTGAAGCAAACAATCAACGATGGGTGGCAAGGCACTGCCAAAAGATCTCCTTGATAAAGTTGTGGATAGGCACAAGTCAGGAGATGGATACAAAAACATTTCAAAGGCTTTATCAAAGCCTAGAAGCACAGTGAAGTCTATTATTAAGAAGTGGAAGGTAGTTAGATTAGTTTATATGTCTTAGATTTATCCAATAAAGCCTTATTTATATTGAAAAGAGAAGTATCTTGGGTTTTGTGCTCACAAGTTAATGTCTTAAACTGCCGATCTTGTTACATGTGCTAATAGTGTTTTCACTATATTTTGGATATAAATATCCATTGCAGAATTGATGTCATATGGCTCGTTCACTGACTCGCTGGCCGTCTCAGTGATCAGCCATTAAACAGTGATTCTGTCCTAATTCCCTTACATATTAATGGTGGAGTTCCCTTTAAAATCTTAAATGATTCCCTTTGAGCTAAATTGACCTGTTTCCCTTACACAAATGTGGCTTGTATGGGAGGGTTGCAAGAAAAAAGACACTCCTCAAGAAAGGCCACATGCAGTCACGACTAGCTTTGCCAAAACGCAACTTGAAGATTCTGAGGCAGATGAGACTAAAACTGAATTATTTGGCCTCAACACCAAACAATATTACTGGTGGAAATTCAATACAGCTCACCATTCATAATAACAGCATTCCTCCAATAAAGCATGGAGGTGGTAACATCCTGTTATGGCGGTTTTTTGTCGGCAACAGGGACTGGAGCACTTGTCAAGATTAGGAAAAATGGATGGGGCAAAACACCATAAAATTCTTGAGGAAAATCTGCTGCCCTCTGCCAGAAAGTTGTCAGTCTATGTTTCCATCCACCCATTTTAGGCGCATTTTGGATTTGGAAACGCCAAGATGCACTTAAATTCTAAAAATGCGTATAAAAAAAACAAACTTATGCGCACAACTGAGTAGGATAAACTTTTTATCCGATAAGAAAACATGTGCATAAACTACGATGGAAACACATTTACCGAATAAATTCCACCATGCGCATTGAAAAAGTCATGCGACTTTGCGCTATGAGATGGGATAAATAAAATTCCTTAATTCGCAAACAAATTTTTACACTTGCTCGGGGTGGTTTTTGACTTGTGTGAAAAAGGGTTCATGCAAATAATGGGAGATGGAAAATCATTTGCCAAATAAATTCCTTAATGCACATCAAAAATGTCATGTGACTTTGCGATATGGGACGGCATTACCTGACCAACCAGAGGATCGATCTCATTGCACAGCATCTGAAATGTTATGGTCATTCTTAAACACCCGGGCAAAGTCTGTTGTCAAAGCATATCTGTATAATGAAATTTTGCTTCATTTGCACTACAGGACTGAAATGCTCCAGGAAAGCTCTTTTCATGCTGAGATAATCAAAATGACCACAGCTGATCACAGTTGAAAGTCAAATGGCTTTGTGTGCCATTGGTTTTTTATTCTTTTATTTCTGACATGCTGGTGTTATATCTTTCACGTGGATGTTATAAGTTGCACTGAGTAAATACAGCTGGATAAAACAAAAACTGTGTCCATCTTCATTTGCTGCAAAGCAACAAAATTGTCATTATTTTAAAGTGGGGTGATTCTTTTGTATACCCACACAATGTACGTGTGTGGGTATATGTATATATATATATATATATATATATATAAAACATTTTTAAGTATGTGTATGTGTGTGTGTAAATATATGCATACATCTACAAAGTACAGACACATTATGTAGACACAAACTTATTTTGGATGCGATTAATCGATTTTACAGCCCTAATTCAGAGTAAAAAATAAATGTTAATGGCACAGACTTACTTTGTTGTCAAGCTTTTTATAACAAGCAAATCCCAATGAAAGTATGGACCGTGTGCGGGCTGAATGGCATATGGCTTTGTACCGGTCTTCAATGGATCTTTAAAGGAAGGAAAGAAGGAAGAATAAAAAAAACACATGAACACTTTTCCCGTCCTTTAAGATATTGGATAAGAATATTTTAATCGCACAACTCACTCAGCTAGAAGAGCTTTCCTTGATCCAAGACCACTCAGTTCCTACAAGAGACAGCATACACGATTGATCTTGTTCTGTTAGGATATTTGGCACTTGAATTTTCACATTCGGTTTAGTTTCTAGATACAGATGCTTTTTCTTACCGTATCAATGGCGATGAATGAAGATGTTTTAATGGCTATCACCATTGCTGCCCACAACTCCTTAAAGTTGTTTGCCTGTACATCTATAACTGGGACTATCATTGAGGATGACATTATAACAGTTCACCAGATAAGCTAACATCTGCTAAACAGCGATTTTCTTACTGGTCTTTACTGAACCGCAAACTGCCGCTCTAAACGACAAGTCAGCGCTCTACACCGCTGTTATTTAGAAGTAAAACTAAACGATAATGCTCTCAATGCAGATACTGTAGGCAAAACGCCATTTGGGAGAGCAAATTAGAGTCATTATAAGTGTCTAACTTTCACGTTTTTCCAACTGCTCCAATTTGTATTCCTTAAACGTCGTAAATGTGTTCTTCACACTTTTATAAATCCAATCGACCGTGTTTGTAACGCGCGAGTTTGTATACTTCCGGCTGGAGTTTCTTCTACGTTTAATAAAGGTTGGCATGAGGCGCGTTTCTGCCACCTACTGGACTGGAGTGTAAAGGTTAGATGAGAATATAATACATTTCCTAAATGCTATTAATTACTTTAAAATGGACTTGACAGTTTAAGAAATATATATACATAACATAAATACACCATTAACAATTTAATTAGTTCAGCCAAATTTAACATTCACAAGCGAAGAATGACTAAAACGCATCATATAACGTTACTTTTAACCCCTTTCTTATGAAAAAAAGGCTTTTCAAATTCATATTCACAACTGCTCATATGTTAACGTTTTTGTTTGTTTTTGTTTATTCTGTAATGTTGTTGTTCTTCTTTCTCTTACATTCTTTGAAGTGCATTCTTTGTTCTGTATTTAACTGTTACTGAATGCAACACAACTACTATTAATCAGGCCAGCTGAAAAATGAAATGTGATCATATCTATCTGGCTTCTAAACTTGAACGAGGAACGTACGGTAAAAGCTATTTTAAACGATTGTTTTGCATCTTCATGAAAATAAGACAAACGTATTATTGTAACTTATTATTTATCCCTTTATCTTATTGCGCATGCATACACGTATGCACAATAATTTACATCTGCTAAATGTGAACGAATTTTATACAGGCATCACTAAAGTCAACTCGGAGCAAACACGTCATCAAGTAGCCTACCGAAGAAGTTACCGACGCCATTTTGGCTCAAACAAACTCTGCATTTCACTTACTAGTGTATTTAATTCGTCTTAAGGACTCGCATTTTATACTTAAAACATTAAAGAGACCGCACGTAAAGCCATTGCGTGCGTCTGCTAATATAACGGCTGTATCTTTTTCTGAAGTGTAAAGTATTTTTAATAATACACCTGCTAAGTCCTCTGCTAGCAGACCGCTACGTGTCATCGTTGTTGTGCCCATATGATAAGTTAAACATTTGGCGAATGTAAATAAAAATGGGTGGATGCTCCGCTCCAAACTGCTCGAACTCTACAACTATTGGAAAGCAGCTCTTCCGCTTTCCGAAAGACCCCGTGCGCATGAGAAAGTGGCTTGTAAACTGTCGGCGTGATTTTGTACCGACTCCCTGCTCCAGACTGTGCCAGGCAAGTGAAAAGCATGCGAGTATTCAATTCTGCAGAAGACAACAATGAAACCATTCTTATAGTAGTCTTTTTTTAATTTATTTTTTGTAATCGTATATGCATATTTTTGCCATAAAGCTTTATTTTATTTACATGACTTGCAGGACCACTTTGAAGAAAGCCAGTTTGAGGAGATCGCCAGATCACCAGCAGGGGGAAGGAAGCTCAAGCCCAACGCAATCCCCACACTATTCAATGTACCCGACCCTCCCTCTCCTGTCACCCCTCAAGCAGTGTTACCTGTTAAAAATGAGCCAGGTAAAGTTATTAGTACAGAGCCTCTGAGGGGACAAGGTGATGGAAAAATAGGAGAAGGGGGGAAAAATCAATGCCTTTGCTTTCACTAGCAAAACGTTTGAATTCCTTTGCTGGAGTTATTGTGTTTCCTTGATAATTTGCTCACCAAACTGTTGTATTCCCTCACAAAGGTAGTGCGTTTCCTAGAGAGACTTTGCATTTGCTCACAAAACTTTTGGATTCCCTCACAAATATTTTGTGTTCCTCAAAGACACTTTGCATGCACTCGCAAAACTTTTGTGTGCTCTTGCAAAGGTATTGTTTCCCCAAGAAATGTTTGCACTCCCTCGCCTAAGGGATTGTTTTTTTTCCCTGAGAAACTCGGCATTTGGTCACAAAACCTTTGCGCTCATTAGCAAAAGCGTTGCGTTTCCCCAAGAATCTTTGCGTTTGCTTGCAAAATTTTGCATTCCTCCCATTTAAGGTATTGCATTTTCCTGAGAAACTTGCCTTTCGCTCACAAAACTTCTGTGTTATTTTGCACAATTATTGCGTTTCCCAGAGAATCGTTTGCATTCTCTTGCAGAAGTATTGTGTTTCCAAGTAACTTTGTATCCACTCCTAAAATGTTTAGCCTTTTCTAGCAAAGTATTCAGTTCCCCCAAGACACTTTGCATTTGCTCACTACACCTTGCATTCCCCTCCAAAACTTTTGCATTCTCTATCAAAAGTATTCCATTTCCCCATTTCTCAACAAAATAAGAAAAAAATGCACAATTGTAAAATAATGTCTGTTTTCTGATTTTTGTTGTTGTTGTAAAAAGTTTGTAATAGTGTAGGTATATATGTGACTATGTTAAATATCTGAAATTAATCAAAATTACACAAGCATAAAACAAAAATAAAACTCAAGTATCGCCAGCAAATCTTCACATGGTTCAGCGATTCACTGCAGAGCAAGTTTGCATCAGTTAATGGTGGATCTGATGAGGACGCTGTCTGCTGCAAAATACTGATTTTGAAGATGATGAAAATATTTAAAGATGCATCAAAATGTTTAAATCCCCAATATGAGCCAGATGCTGAATGTAACTGTGAGTGATTATGGTGGCAAAGCTATCATCATTTTGAGTAGCTCAAAAAGCCCTCCCAAATTTCAACAGATAACAAAATGTTTTATTATTATTATTTAGTAATTACAATGTCAGGGCAGTTTAGAGGCTCTTCCGTGTTAGATATACATTCCGTGTTGCTAAAGGCTCCAATATGTACTAGTGGTTGTCGAAACATTCAAGGGTTAAACAGCTCTTTTCTATACAATGTCAAGAATAATTATGAAAATTTAGGGGTGAACAGTCCCTTTGAGGGCATTTTGTGTGCTGCAAATGAATATATTATGTTGTTCAACTAGTGGAAAAGGACTTGAACATGGGGGACCATGGTTATGCCCGCCGACAGCCCCCTGTGGATTCAGAGGAGGATGGGGTTCAGAGGGCAGACGAGGAGCGACCTTGCTCTCTCTGCCAGCATTATAAAACCAGACTGGAGCAGCAACAGCAGCACACAGTCAGACTACAGAGAGAGGTAACGTGTATTCTTAGAAATCATAATAGATTGTACATATTAGCGATTGAAAGCACAGGTAACATTTTTCCTTTTCTTTGTTACACAGGCAGAGGAGATGAAGAAACGCCTTTACAAACTGAGTAAAATAGAGAAGGGGCTACAGGTGTTTCTGTTTGAGGATCAGATACGTGCCCTAACGTTAGCCAAGCGTTCTCGGAGGGCAGTGTGGTCCCATGGTACTTTACTGACAGCCCGTAAAATCCGCTGCACAGTGGGGGTTAAAGGATACGAGTACCTAAGAGAACTGGGCTACCCTTTGCCTTCTTACAGGACGCTGTGTAATCGCCTGGAGCCCAAAATGATGGTGACCACAAGCATGCAGGATGAACTAGCAGAGCTTGGCCTGGGCATCATAACAGCTTGTGACAGTCCAGAGGGCAACGTGACGAGCGATGAAGGACTGATTGGAGTCATGACCTGATACACTGTGTTTGTAAGAATCTGCACTAATGCTTGACTGTTAAACCAACCGAAGGCGAAGCTACGGCAGGATTCACAGAGGATGTTTGTTTACTGGGTTAAGTTATTTTGGGTTGTTGCATTTTAAAACCATTTGCATTAATACCACAACCGTCTAGAGTTGATTCACTATTATCTGTTTTCTTTTCTTCAAGAAAGAAATATTTTGGTCTTGCTGCATCTGGCTGTGTAGTTGATATCTCTTGATGCAAATATTGCACCTGTTACCCATTTTGAGAAAATTGAGGTAAACTGTTGGTGGAATAATTTCAGTTGTTCGTAGAATCATAAACTACTAAGAATGTGCCCTGAAAACCAAATATTATCACTCTAAACTTAATTTTTGCTACTGAGACAAAGAGAAGGTTTCGCTTGTTTCTATGAGAGAAAGTTGACAAAAGAGACTTGATAAATTGTCAAATTGACATGACGGTGTGACTGTGTAAAGTCACTATTTTAAAGTGGTATATTGGTAGTAATGCTGTTTTAAAGTGGTGTAAATCTGGTGTATGAGTTTAGCAGCCAAAAAATAGCACATATTTATAGAGCCACCACACAAATGATTCATGCTGTTGCCGAACTGAGGGGGCTGTTCTGAATAAACTTCTGTCTGCAAACCAGAGTTTCTGGTTTCATTTATTTTTTTTCCTGTGTTCATGTTTGCCACCCCTGTCTGTGCAGTTTTATTTCAACAGCTCTTTGATGGATCCCTTGTCAACTACAAAGCATCTTCTTTTGTATTCCAGACAAGAAATTCTGAAGGATTTGAAACAACATGAGTAAATATTAGCATAGTTTGCCCAAAAATGTAAATTATCTTTTTAAACACTCTTCAAAATGGTGCTCCCCCTACAGACTGTATTTATCTCTTTGAGCGTTTTACGGAAATGTTCACAAAACACGTTAATAGGGATATTTGAGGGACATTTAGGGTTAAAACAGTTTCATTAAATGAATGAAATGTGAAATGACAATACACTGGATGTTTTGTACTAGGTGGTACACTTTAAAAAATGACTGAATTTAACGGTAAAAGATTGTAAAAATGCTACAGTAAAAACCTGTTAAATGGTTAACGGTAAATTCCCCTACTATATACGGTGAAAAACTGTAATGGACATTACATGTATTGGACATTAATTTTACGGGAGTATACCATTTTTGGAAGGGAAAAAGACTGTATAATTTACAGTAAATAACCGTAAATTGACATTCCCAGAATTCCCTGCGTTACATTTCAAATTTGATGTTTTTTTGTTGAAATAACTATGTTTATTCTTAGTTTTCTCTTATCAGTTTTTTATATTAGGGTTGTGCGTTACACCTAATGTTGTTAAAGGAATGTTTATTGCATTCTTTCAGTTTCATGTGTGTTACCATGATGATGTTTAGTGTTTGTGTGAATGACACTGTGCACCTTCTATATATGTTATTATTTAAAAGCTGCTTGTGATGGGCTTTTGTTCATCATGTGACTTTCTCATCACCACCTGTATTTGGTGGTTATCAGTGTATTACAAAGGTACAAAACAGATTTCAGTACTTAAATAGGTTGGTATATTAACATTATATCAGTTAATGAAATTACGGTATTTAACTGTAAATTTAAGTTAAAACCTAAAATGTTGCTACCGTATTTGTTATGGTAAAATTCCGGCAACCACAGCTGCTGGTTTTTTACCGTAAATTTTTGTGTTGGCGCTCATGCCTGCTCAGATATTTTGAGTGTGCTAAAGGTTGTGTACTTTGCCCCAATCATTTCAAGGATGAAACACTGTTGTTTGCAAAACTAAAATCAATTCCTCTGTACATGGGATGGTGTAAGATCTTTCAAGTATGTTTTGTTGAGTGTAAATCTCAGATTGCTCACTTTGGTGTATCTACAGTGAGGCCAGACAACAAATAATTGATCTATTTTCTCATTTATTTAGCGTGTGGTGCACATCTGAGACCCCTGATCTCGTGAATGTTCCTGTGGTTTTAAGGAAAAGGTATGAGCCAAAATGTACATTCTCATATATTTTAATATCCATGCTGAATTACTTTTCTTACGGACCTGTATAGTAATTAATAAAACATTGGTCACGGAGGGATCCATTGCATCATTTCAACAGGACAGTATATCTACAGATGCACTTGTTTTTCACATGATGTGATCACTGAATGTTTAGCTCAAGCAAACTGACAAAAATTGCCAGAGAGAAAGAAACTCAATTACAAGACTTATGAACCGGCACAATTTAAAGACATTTAATGTTAAACATTTATGTTTTAATATAAAAGAGAACACAGAAAGCTTTAAAAAACTGATGTTAAATATCTTTCACCCATGACACAAAAATTTGCTCCATATGAAAAAACTGTCACTCAAATCTTGTTCAGTTTGCTATCAGCCAGTGTGTTTATCTTGGATCGGACACACATGAAATCAAACTTTGTAGTACACCAGTGCCTGATCCTCTCTTACTGGTTTGTTTAGGGGGAGGTCCGTCCAGAAGGAGACCTTTAAATGTGTGGGCCAGACAACTTGCCCTCATTTCTTTATTTCTGATTTAGAGCAGGCCAAGGGACAGAGCTTGAGGTTTGTGCAAATCATGTCAGTTTTGCTTTTTTTATGTGTGTACGGAATCAAATGAATGTAAAACAAACTAGTGAAACATCCAATGAATTGATTGTGTAGTATTTTAGTCTGAGGACCTGCTTGTTTTTGTTTGCAGCTGTTGTGGCGGGTGAAGGTCAGCAGGCATGATGCAGGCTCTCTGGGCTCTGTGGTTGTCTGCTTTTCCAGCTCTGCTGGGGGCTTCGCCGCTGTTTTCGGAGAAGGAAAGCACTGACTCCAGGATCTGTAAGCCTGCTCCACAGTGGGAGATCGAAGGCCAGATTCCAATGAAGCACCTTGTAGGAAGCATAGCCGTTGTGGCTCTTCTTAAAGCGAGCTGACATTTCTGTCTCAAGCAGGCTGCCAAGTGAGAGATCTTGCTGTGTAATTTACAGGGTCATTCTTTAAAGTGATGTCTGTAGTTAGAGAATTTTATTTTTGCTGTACATTTTTTACAAACAAGGAAAGAAACTACAAGGTGCTATTAGAAAGAGACCCAGTACTGATATTTGTACACAATTTTAAATTTGTTTACTATACAAAATTTAACACTTAAAATTAGCTTACTATACAAAATTGTAACAGGGTTAACATTTTAGAATTTTTGCCAACTGACGAAAGTAATAACACACAGTACCGAAAAAGGTACTTTTTGATTTTTTTTTTTATTAAATAATTTACATTTTAAAAAATATATACACATTTCAAAGCATATAAAAGACTTAAAATGTCAAATAATTCAAACATTTATGTATTTAAAGAATAAAGACAAAATAATAGCCTTTTTCCATTTAGTAATCATACAAATTAAAGTACATAAATGTTATCAATTGAATTCGAATATATCATAAGTATAACAATATTTATGAGGGACACAAATGACAGCCATTTTGTAGAATGACCCTCCTCGTTTAAAGTAACTGTTTTTATTTCTAGTATAATTTCAGTGTTTTTGCTCTTTCCATTTGTAAACAACTGAAATACAAAAATCTTGGCTGCTCAGTCAGTTAAATCTGCTTGTGTTCTCTTCCTTTTGTTTCGGAAGGTTGGGAGACCTGCGTGACAAGCTGGCCCTTGGTAAGCTGACTAACATATCATTCCTGGTTGTCAATGAGCAGGATGCTCAGTCCAGAGCTCCTCGTTTAAAGTAACTGTTTTTATTTCTAGTATAATTTCAGTGTTTTTGCTCTTTCCATTTGTAAACAACTGAAATACAAAAATCTTGGCTGCTCAGTCAGTTAAATCTGCTTGTGTTCTCTTCCTTTTGTTTCGGAAGGTTGGGAGACCTGCGTGACAAGCTGGCCCTTGGCAAGCTGACTAACATATCATTCCTGGTTGTCAATGAGCAGGATGCTCAGTCCAGAGCCATGTACTGGGAGCTGAAGAGGAGGACGGCAGAGGGCATCCCCGTGTATCAACAGAGCCCACTGCAAAACGACATCTGGGACATCTTGGAGGGAGACAAGGATGATTTCTTAGTTTATGACAGGTATGAGCAAAACACACTTCTAAATCCATTCAGTAATATGATCAGTCTGACTAGTTTTCCTTTAGGGTCACGTGACTCTTTTGTAGGTTCTCCAGAAACATTTTTCTCAAGCATTGTTTTCTGTGTTCAATGTCATGGTCATTCTTTAGTATTTCCTTTCTGCACAGATGTGGATATCTCACCTTCCACATTGCCCTGCCCTTCAGTTTCCTTCACTTCCCTTATATAGAAGCTGCCATCAGGTCTACATACCACAAAAATATATGCAACTGCTCAGTGAGTGAAAATATTCAACAATATGAAGCTTCAGAAAGTACAGCATTTATGAAATGTTTGCAAAATGTTCATTTATTGAAACTCTCTTCCAGTTAAATGCAAACTTCTCCATATCAGAAGGCTTTGAAAACAACAACAATTATACAAATGAGCCTACCGAAGAGAGCAAGACTAACAATACAGAGCCTGTAACTGTTGAGCATCAGCATCATCACCATCACCATCAACATGAGGATCATCATCATCATCACCAACATGTGCATCATCATCATCATCATCACCAACATGTGCATCATCATCATCATCTAAATAACAGTAACAGCACCGGTGATTCAGATGTGACCTCCGTACCAAAGGGGCCAATCCAGCATTCACATCAAGAACATAGTCATTAAAACGTGCTTTTTTTCAATAATTGTTGAATTTTTGTTTAAAAATATATGCTTTTTTATCAGCGGAGCTGCTCTTGAGTCAGACCTTATATTGACCTTAAAGGGGTTGGTTTTCATTGCTCTTAATGAAGTGTGCACTTTAAACCTGAGTCAGGGGTCTGCATACAGATGTTGAGCAGAAGAGTCGTTCACACTAGACTTCTGTTTTCCTCCTTTCTTTTAGGGAATACCTGAGTGTGCTGAACTAAAGAGTTTGCTTTGTGTATTATTTGTTAACTGCCCTGTATTTATATTATATGATATGTTAAGGAAATGTTCGTGACCCAGAGTGGTAATATATACAAAGAATAAATCTACATATATCTATCATGTAAAGCATCTACCATGTGTAATTTTTCCTGTCAAAACCTTCGTATTATACTGCGCTGTTGAATTTAGAAATGATTTGTTTGGTCAATTAGTACTGGATTACATGGTTGCATTTATGGTCATTCGGGTTGGTCCAAGACGATCTACAAGATGGGGCTGGGACTGACCTGGTGTGCTGGTTAGGGCTGGTAGACCACCTTGGACCAATAACAAACCAGCTACATGTTCCTTTAACTGACATGATGTATTTAGGAAATTTAACAAAGCTTGTATCACTTTACAGAGGAGACAATACAGCTTATAATTAGTGCATTCAATTGAGAGTAAAGCTTTAATAAATAATTCAACTTATAAGTGAAGTCATTTCAGGTTACTTTATTAAACTAGTTAAAACCAGTATTAATTTCGTAGCCTATTAATTACGCTTAACTGATAGTGAACAACTTTTAAATGGCTAATACAGTACAACGCTCAAAATAGCTGATGGTAAAGAATAACGTTATCCAGGGGATTTTGGTAATCCGTCTTGGGGAGGATGCCATGTGTGAACTCCTTAACTCCTCATTGAGCCACTGATTCATGCTGAACGAGAGCTCTGTGTCGTAATTCCATTGATAACAGCATGTTTTCTCTCTCTTGGATCTGAAATAGCGATCATAATTGACATTTTTACACAGTTACTGTAGTTACACCCTTCAAGGAACTCTCGCGCTGTTCCTAAATGTAACCGATGGTGGCGCTGTTTGGGCATTACTGAATGAATAGCGAGCGCAATGGTAAGGCATCTTCGCTTAATATACAATTTCACAGATATTTATTGAGTGACTAAAATACTTTAGGGCTTGGTTTAGTTTGTTTGTTTGCTTGTTTCTTATTTTCTTTTTACAAGTCCATACGTTAACAAACACCATCTCTTTCATTATTAATCGCTCAGGTGTCTGTATCCCCGTCGACATGGCAAAGGCTCCAGATATTTTACCAATGGGTCCTAGAAAACGGGGGTATTTTTCAAGCAATTGCATGTCTGATGTACTACTTTAAATCTGCTCTTTATAATTTGTATACGATATAAAAAACTACAACAGAAAACGCAAGTCGTAGACTACAAAAGGCTAGTTCTTTTTATTTACACCGATGCGGATAGGCTACGTTTGACTAATTGGTCCTGACGAAACCAATAGACTGTGAAAATACTTTTATAAACAACTTTAACCACAGGCTATAATGCGGTTAAACGAGCTAATGAAGCAATTCGTTCATTCTCACAGACAAGAGGACAGATGGATGGCTTTTGGTTTATTCTCCACTGCCTGTCGGTGAAATCTTCCTGTGTTACCTTGTCATCGTCTGGCTTGGTCCCAAACTCATGACTTACAGAGAACCAGTCAACATCAAAGCTCTTCTTATTATTTACAATTTTTCCATGGTGTGCCTTTCTGCTTATATGTTTTATGAGGTATGATAGCTAAAATATTAAATACTTATGTCCCATTCATTCATTCACTCACTCACTCATGATTTGCTTATAGTTCACAGCATCATCTTGGTTGGCAAATTACAGTTTGGTGTGTCAGCCTGTGGACTACTCTGAAACCCCCTTGGCAATGAGGGTAAGCAAATTATTTTTATATAAATTATTTACATTTTCCCACACACAAGTTAATATTTTCTTAATTTTGTGCCATTTTAATGCTATGCAGATGGCCAGAGTGTGCTGGTGGTTTTACGTCTCCAAAGTTATTGAACTTACTGATACAGTAAGTGAATTATCCAGTCCTTTGATATCAGCATTGTTTATGAATGTCTTATGATGTTTTATTACATTAATTAGTAAATGTCATTATCATCAGATGTTCTTCATTCTGAGAAAGAAGAACAATCAACTGACCTTTTTGCATGTGTATCATCACGGCACCATGATTTTCAACTGGTGGGCAGGGGTCAAGTATGTTGCAGGAGGGCAGTGTAAGTGTTCTTTCCTTGGAGTAAAACAGATTATTGTATTTACATTCAACAGTCCACTTAGCAGAATATAACAATCTGCTACTATCAATCAAGACAAGGCTATGTCGAGTTTTTGAATAGAGGTGAAGTTGACTGTTTAACCCTTGTGTTGTGTTCAGAACCCTTTCACACTTATGTGTGGGTGAGTGAGTGAGAGAGAGAGAAAGAGAGAGTTATACTATCAGATTGCTGAAATGATATTGGATGCAGTTCAGGGTAGGATGAAATAGAAAACTTGTAATACTTCCAATAGTTTGTATAAGTGTGTGTGTGTTAGCGTGAGTATGCATGCATCCAAACATGAACAGGTCCAAGGCCTTTATGTTTGCAAGCACTCGTACATATGTGAACGTGAACATGATCAACATGTTCCTGAACACTAATAGTTTCTATTACTTTCATTCTTTCCCATTCACTTTGAATGGCTGGACATTTTTGCCTGGGAACACCACAAGTGTGACTTTGTGCCATTTTGTACTAAATAAAAGCATTTAAAAGCAAACTCCCTGATTAAACATTAAAGTACACTAGTGTGATAAACAGTGTAAATTTTCATCAGTTTTTATTTAATATTGTGAAAATTATTCATAAATAATAATTTTTTCACTCAAAAAATTAGGTGCCTACTCTCAGATAAATGAGGCCTACGATTAATCAGAAGCAAATATAAATACAAAACCAGTCCTAAATGAAAGAAAAGAAGTTGACAAAAACATTGAATCCAATATTTGGTGATAATATAGCATAATGAGTGATTTATTAGCAATTGTTTTAGGCCGGGTCATTTTTGACCGGGAACACCACAAGTGTGACTTTGTGCCATTTTGTACAAAATAAAAGCATTTAAAAGCAAATTCCCTGATTAAACATTAAAGCACACTAGTGTGATAAACAGTGTAAATTTTCATCAGTTTTTATTTAATATTGTGAAAATTATTCATAAATAATGCTTTTTTCACTCAAAAAATGAGGTCCCTACTCTCAGATAAATGAGGCCTACGATTAATCAGAAGCAAATATAAATACAAAACCAGTCCTAAATGAAAGAAAAGAAGTTGACAAAAAGATTGAATCCAATATTTGGTGATAATATTGCATAATGAGTGATTTATAAGCAATTTTTTGAGGGAGTGTCTTTTTTACTCTGTAACCTTGTAGGTGTAACAAGCTAAAAAAAACAGAAATGTATGAAAATTATAAAAAAAATTTTTAGAAGTAGTTATACCCTTTGTGAACAAAGTCACAAAATTTCAGTCCAATGCGATAACATTAACTAGCATTTTCGGGAAAAATAAAAAATTTTCAGAGCAAAAAGGACCCGAACACCACATGAGGGTTAGGAATAGTTCACACAAACAAAATGTACTCACCCTCAGGTCATCCAAGAAGTTGATGAGTTTTTTTCTTAATCAGAACAGATTTTGAGAAATTTAACATTACATCAACAATGGATCCTCTGCAGTGAATGGGTGCCATCAGAGTCCAAACAGCTGAGAAAAACATCACAACAGTTCACAAGCAATTCACACAACTCCAGTCAATTAATAAATGTCTTGTGATGCAAAAAGCTGCATGTTTGTAATAAACAAATTAATTATTAATCCGTCATAATTTTTGTCCTCTCCTATCAAAATCCACCGACATATTTCTTTAGAACTGTTTTGGACTGTTTTCATTTGTATATGTTACTTGATCTATGCATGATTCTCAATATTATGGATAGAGGACTTGCATTTTAGCTGGAAGCAAGGATTTGAAGTAAAAAACGTTTCATAATGAATTTGTTTATTACAAACACGCAGCTTTTCATTCTGACGACACCTATTCACTGCAGAGGATCCATTGGTGAGCAAGTGATGTAATATTAAGTTTCTCAAAATCTGTTAAACTCATCAACATCTTGGAAGGCCTGAGGATGAGTAAATGTTCAGCAAATTTTCATTTTTGGATGAACTATTCCTTTAATCAGATTGTAAAATAAACTATCAGGTTAAACTAATGTAGATCCAAAAGTCTGAGACAACATTTAAAATATGGTAATAAACTACAAAAACTTCTGTTGAAACTAAGATGCTGAATGGATTATGTCAAATCATGGGGGAGACGTTCATGTTAATTCTCACTCAAATTATTTTATAATTACAGTATAATTTGTAATACAAAAAAAAAAAATATATATATATATATATACACATACATTTTTTTTTATTACAAATTATATATGTGTGTGTGTGTGTGTGTGTGTGTGTTTTGGACCCCACTGTATTCATTTAATTAACTAAGAATTCTTAGTTATGTACATACAGTTCTTTATATAGTTATTCAGCTTCTAAATGGGCATCTACATATTGGGGTTGATTTAGTTGCAATAGCATTCTGACACCACTAGGTGATGTATTGCTTTAGAAATACACAATGAAAGTATTCTGAAATGCATGTGGTATTGTATTATGTTAGGCAGCTGATAACAATATCTCATGGATTTTGGTATTTTATCTGTTTCAGAGAGCCATATGTTCTAAAGTGTCAACGCAGTGAATGTTTTACAAAAGATGTTCTCTCTCCCTCAGCGTTCCTTATTGGCCTCATAAACTCTTTTGTTCATGTGGTGATGTATATGTACTATGGCCTGGCTGCATTGGGCCCCCAAATGCATAAGTACTTGTGGTGGAAACGCTACCTCACTTCCCTTCAGCTGGTGAGACTCTTATTATGATTTTTTTTAAGGGAATAATAACTTAACATAAAGGATCAGTCACTTTTGTGTAACTGTCTTTCTTTGTCCCCCTCAGCTCCAGTTCTTTATTGTGACCATTCACACTGCAGTCAACTTCTATGCTGACTGTAACTTCCCTGACTCCATGAATATGGTGGTGCTCAGCTACGCCTTCAGCCTGATCGCTTTGTTCAGTAACTTTTATTATCAGAGCTACATTTCCAAGAAGACCAAGATAGCATGATAGCATGGAGATGGAGGATAC